GACTATGTCTAAGATGTATTTTTTTGTTCAGACCCTTTTATCACATTACGTAGAAAAATATATATTTTTTTGTATTTCTTAGGACTATGGTCGGAACATTCTGTGCTATCTGCATAGTTATCAGATATCCTTGTTTTGTATTTGGATGCGTTTTCGGCTTTTTAACTTTTTGTTTTTTACGAAAAATCAGGTATAACAAATAAACATCGGAATGTGTCGAGGAATAAATCATATTACTTAAAGCCCTTTGCGCGATAATTCAAATGACATCAGTTTTTTTTTTTTAAAAATTGTCTCAGTGCCGACAGAAAGTTAATTTTAGTTCAATTTCGAGCAAGTTAACATAAAAAACTCATGCAATAAAAATTGATCAAGAAGTATTCACGCCTCTGTTATCAATAATTAAACCACTTAAACCACCTTAAAACGCCATTTCCCCAATTTCACGTTTTACGGCGCGTCTCAACGGTGGCGTTTTGCGATTAAGTGCTGAACAAAAGCCGCGAAAAGCCAGGTGCCTCTAAATAGTTTTTATTTATAATGCCACCAGCCGCTTTTAAAACTGGTATGATTCTACAAAGCCATCCTTTTATGATGCAGTCCTTTTGTGTCAAAATTGAAAATGAGAAAAAAAACGTTCCATGATCGAGAGTGTTGAGAAATCGAGAGTGTATGGCTCCAAATAAATCAAAATCCTTTCAAAATGTAGATGGCGGATCCCACTGAATCTGAAAATTTCGTTGCGTAGATAAAAAGAATTAGTTTAGAACGCGGTTTTTGGTCTGAAACTTAAAAGGTGGTTACTTTTCAATTGCTTATATTTGTTTAAAAAAATGCTTTAAAATATCATATTTTGGGCCTTGATTGTGCATCTGGACATGTTGACATTTTGTCTTCTTTCTTGACAATACATACCGAACAAAATTGCTCAATGAAAAAAAAAACAGGATTTGTGGCCGGTTGCTGTTAAAGTATCACACAATCTTCCGTTCAAAAATTGCGTTTTATGGGCGCGCGTTTTAGTGTATATTGGCAATGACAGACGTTACAGAAAAATATTGGAGTTCGACTCAAGCAGATGACCTAAATAGTACCGAAGGGGGACCCTTTGGAAAAACTTTGGAACCAGAATTGATAGAACTGAGGAGGGGAGGATTTGCCCCCCGCTCGGCATGCTAATGGCTTTAAGCCTCACCCTACTTAATACAATTACGAGACAATCGAAAAATGTAGGAGCCTTCAGTAAGGAAAGTTTGCCGATTCTTCTTCTGCTGTTTGAACTTTGGACCACGAGAAAGGGGGTTCACTAAAGGAAACTAAACCAAAATCACAATTACAAGCTTATGACCAAAACCCAAAGCTTGACTTATGCTGCAACTGGTTAGTTAAAACTGTAATACCACAAAAACGTTGACTTTTTGGGTAAGAGTGTTGCTCAAACATACCAAAGTATTCAAATGGTAAGCGGCAATATCGATTTGGGAATATTTACTTGCTTTCGGCGCCCGTTAGGTTGCCAAATTTGCTCACTTTTCTCCAAATTGGATAAGGCTAGTAAACATTGGCTGGATAAAACTGGAGCGGAAATTGGTAGCGCGAGCTTAGTAAACACCGTCTTCCGTTTTTTATTGCGCCGACCAAAGACCCTTATAGAATTAATGGATTCAATTCTTACCAGATAAGAAAACTGAAATGAAAGCTTAGTTACCAACTGAAAATTTATGACTACTTATATTGTGGTAACATATAGCCAGAGAGAAAGAATTTAATAAGAGCTTCTTATCTCTTTGAAAAAGCTCGTTTCAAATTTTCGGTCCTTCGAATATAAACTGAGAATGAAGTCGCGAATTAAGGGTCGTTTTAAGAAAGCTTAGAGGGATTTAGGGAAAACGTGACTTACAATTTAAAATTTAGCTGCTACCAAATACCATAAATATTTTCGTGTTATTGAATTATTTTAATTTAGGGCTTCCTGTAGGTTACATAACCACAAACCAAAAACATTCCGCGATCTCGAATTCCTAAGTGAAGTTTCCCTAAATTTCATTCGGTTTATCTGAGCAGAGAACTTGTTCAATTTTTGTCTCCGGATTTAACTGGCTTCGTAAACCCGAAGTTTATGTTGTTTTTACAAGCAAGGGTTACAATAAAACATGTTTGAAGCAAGGAAAAGTTGGTGAAATTATTCAAAGATGTTGCTGGTGGTGTAAAATTCACCACTCTATGAAGTTTGTGATCGGTACATAAATAAAATGATCAAAGCAGAAATTTGGACGTCGGTTGGTAAATTAAACTGAAAAATAGCGCCTTAATTAAAGTTTAATGAAAAAATGACTAGGTACTAGAATAAGAGAAAAAACTTCAATAACGAGTTTTTGAAGTTAATCATCAAGCGCATGTGATCAATCAACAAAAAAAACATTCTCGACTTTTTTATCCTGAAAAGAAAAAAGTTGCAGTACAATAATATTGTGTTTATTTTTGGAGTAATTTGGGAAAATTTTCAAAAAATGTACATATAAGAACGAAAACAATATATTTTTGAGAATTTCTTGATAAAAATCGGATAGAAATAACAAGGCTGAGATACGTTATGCAAACCAATTTTCTAATATTTTGCATTTTTGAAATACTCTATGGATGCTGACAATTGCTGAATAAAAAGAAGAATAGCCGGTTACAGTGCAACTAGCACAAAATGTTCCGGCCATAGTCTTATTAAAATTCAAAAAAAGTTGTTTCAAATTAGTGTAGTTTTTCTGCGATGTATATTAAAAGAATCTGAACGAAAAACTAAAACTTAGGTATTCGCGACAGTCATATTAAAATTTGGCAAAAATTTTTGTAGAAAAATGAATGGAAAAACATTGCAAAAAAATATTGAATTTGAGATATTTTTGATTCCCGAAATGGCGCTAAAAACTCCAAAACTAACTTTACTGGAGTAACACCAAGTTTTCACGTTTTAAATTAAGATATAAATAAATAAGCTTTGGTTATCCAAAGATCAAAAATTTGCACCTGCTTGATACTAGGACGACTTTTTGAAAAAAAAAATTGATGTCGTTCGAATCACGACTCAAAAGGCTTCAATATGATATATCACTCGACCTATTTTGATGATAATTTATGGTAACTAATCTTGCGTGAAAAGAAAACTAAAACATACCCTAGTACAAAGATATTATCACTTTCAATGACCGAAACAATAAAAAAAAAAGTAGTCTACTGCTGTGCAAGTAGCGCAGAAAATTCGGGCACAGCTATTTGGAACTTAAAAAACTCTTTTAAAACGTTTTCTGGCCTTTTTTGTCAAGTTTAGGTTTTTTTGTACGTGATGAGAGCAGAGGATCTAAAAGCTTGCTCAGAACACTAGCATAGGGCTTCTTCATTGACTCTAGTTGTCTTTAAAAGATGAGCAAGAAAACAAACAAAAAACAAAAAATATATATTAGAAAAAATTCTAACAAAAATTGATATAACCAATTTTTATGTAATATCGCTACTTGCTCGCTTTACTCGTTCAAAATATAACTAAAAAACAAAAATTTCAACTGGTTTTTCTTGAGACTAAAAAAATTTTTGATGTCTTTAGAATCACGACTGAATTTTTTTAAAATTATATACCTTTCGATCCATTTTGATGATTAATTATGGTATCTGTTTTTGCGAAAAAAAAATGAAAAAACACACCGAAATACATAGCGCCCCCTTTTGTAGTGGTCGGAAAAACTTTTAATAAAATTATTTTCAACGAAAATTTTTCCAAAAATATGGGTTTTACATTTCTTTGATCTAGGCGTGAACCTTGACAAAATTAAATCCTCAAGTTCCTCTTTTCGGTAAGAAAGAGCACACGTCACCAAAGATTGAATCCAGCCGTCTGAATAACTTAAATACTTTTGTTCCAGCCACTCAAATGAGAGTAATTGATCCGACCATTGAAAATGGGGAGGAATTTTGTATTCGGGTTTTTTAACTTTTTTTCCAGGCAAAATCAGGTAAATCAAAATAATCATTGGACAGGGTGGAGTGATATATCAAACTAAATCATTTTCAGTTGTGATTCGAACCACATTAAAAATTCCCAAAAAATGTTTCTTGTGTCGAGAAAAACCGATTTGAAAGTTTTGCTAGCCGGCTTAAGATAGCTTATTTATGCTTAATTTAGGCCGCAAAAATTTAGCTATAATCAAGTAAAAGTATTTTTTGGATTTTTTCCAAGATAAAATTTGGGAATCAAAAACTTCAAATTAAAAAAAAATTGATTTTTAGAACGATTTTTTTAAATCATGTTTCTGGGAGAACTGTTGTCCAATTTGCCTGTTCTGTAATGACAGACGACTATGTCTAAGATGTATTTTTTGTTCAGACCCTTTTATCACATTACGTAGAAAAATATATATTTTTTTGTATTTCTTAGGACTATGGTCGGAACATTCTGTGCTATTTGCATAGTTATCAGATATCCTTGTTTTGTATTTGGATGCGTTTTCGGCTTTTTAACTTTTTGTTTTTTACGAAAAATCAGGTATAACAAATAAACATCGGAATGTGTCGAGGAATAAATCATATTACTTAAAGCCCTTTGCGCGATAATTCAAATGACATCAGTTTTTTTTTTAAAAAATTGTCTCAGTGCCGACAGAAAGTTAATTTTAGTTCAATTTCGAGCAAGTTAACATAAAAAACTCAAAATTTTGCAAAAAAAAAAGCAAAAATGTTTTGGAAAATAGTTTTGATTTTTTTATGAATTGTTTTGTTTTTCTGTTCATTTTTCGACAAAAAATGTTGACCAATTTGCCTATCTTACTACAGCGGTGGAATATGCTTAAGTCTTAGGCTTTCGTTCAGATCCTTTATCACACCACGCACAAAAAAAACGACACTAACTTGAAAAAAAAAAGAAATTAAAATATATTTTTTTTGTTTTTAAGAGTATATTCGGAACAATCGATGCTACTTGCTCAGCAGCCGGCTACCCTTGTTATTATTCTGACCTTGTACATTGGGTTGGTATCCTGCGGGTACTCCTGGTGCAGGGTACTGAGGGGGTGGGGAGGACATGGAGGGATGACAGGATCGAGAGGGGTAGTGAATCATCTGGTGGGGATGAGGAGGGGCACTTGCTACTCCTGGGGGTCCAACGCCGCTGTACTGGGGATTGTAGTTGCGACGTCTGTCCAGAGTGCTACCGCTGTCGAAACCTAAAATGATTCATGAAGTATGAAGATAAGACCTCAAAACCAATTCAAGTTCAGGATGCAAGTAAAAATTGAATCAGTTGAAAAATCTGTCGCTGCTACCATTTAATTTCCAGCAAATAATTGGTTCTTCCGATTTTTGGGTCATTTAAAATAATTTTACCCAAAAAAATTAAAAGAAAAATCCTAACACCATTTCTATGATATTTACATAAGCAAAAAGTTTCAGAGCTCAAAGAAGCACATGAAACCACAATCCTTCTTAAACAATACACGCTAGGTCAATAAATTGTTGTGCTATATTATTTTATCAGCTCAGCTTTATCAGAAAAAGATACTTTGGGACCGGTTTGATTTAGACCAGACATCCTGAAAACGGATGTTAATGCCTTTTCTTAAGTCAATTGTTCTTGAATCAGACAATACAACAAACAACCACAGCAGACCGATCAAGGCCCATTCAAACCAAACCAGCTGATCAAAAGCATCAAATATATACAGACAGTTGAGAATTCAAATGAAGAATTTAATTCACTCAATTTGCAAGTCAATAGAGTGATCAATGATAGAACTATTAGGCTGTGCATAGAAGTTGACTTAATTCTCAGTAAAACGGAGAGCAGTTAAACGCAGTTTTATACCCTTCCCGTACTGTATAGTCATCAACCTCGCCCGACTTCAATAACGATTGCGAAGTTCTTATTACTTCGTCTAATCTTATATTTTCTTGCTTAAGTGCGACCTATAAAAGCGTCACTTTCAAAGTTGACAGCGGTCTTTACAAATGCAATTTTTTTCCCCGCAAATGTAACAAAATGCATGATGTAAAAGCCACAAACTAACCCATAATGAGAACTGAATAACATGTTTGCTTGTGGTTTTCTGACCGATCATGTTTCCAAACAAAAGCCATTAAACTTTTGTTTGCTATTGAATTTCACATTTTGTTGGTGTAAAGTTCAAAAGGCTTCAGGAAATAAAGAGTCAAGTAATAGGCGAAGCCATATACTAGGATCACATACACGATATTGATGGCTAATTGCGGAATTTTGCACCATAACGGAAGCGCATAATTAAAACTGAGCAACCTAATACCATGTGAATGAACTCAAAAAAGCCAATCACCAAATCCAATTTCGACCATGTATTGCCAGGAGGAAAAAAATCTATCACTAATTTTACAATAGCGTTTAGGAATATTGTCGCTTCTTTATGGCATGATCCGATAAAATGTCTCATTTTTTAAACAAAAAACAGCCTAATAAAAAGCACTTAAACATGAGGAGATGACCGTTTTCATCGGAGAAATTTGTTAAAGAGTCGAGTTAAGTATGATGATGAGTATATCGCATAAATTGCATTCATTTGAAAGAATATCTGTTGTACCATAAAAAATTATCTTCAAGAGCCCTTATAAGAATTTAAGGAATTAAGTCGTTTGCTGTCAAGAACTTTGAGAACTGCTAAAAAACTTTTTTAAAGCGTCTCATAAATGAATGTTAGCCACAATGTTGTTACCTTAGTTATTACAGGATATTGTTGATTTGAGGAGTATCTACGGATCAATAAATACAATGAGGCCAAAATGCATGTTTGGCATAACTCGAGCATAGCCCAACCCAATTACCTGGCTCTAATCACACCACCATTTCACTTGTTTGTTGTTTTTGTGATTCAATAACAAACGCACTGATTAAAACCAATTGAAGTATCTTCATTCAAGTCAATAAACTATCAGATGCCACAAGTTTTCAGTCTCGCTTCGTCGCTTGCATATTTCGTCATTTTGTACCAGGGCCGATAATATCGCAGTATTTACCACATCGAACCACTCCGATGAATTCGAAATTAAGCGTAACTGACTGACCGTACAGCTTAGTCTTGTAGTTTAAATTTTACACTCGCGGGACATCGCTTTCTAGATTCCACTTATCAATTATGTTCAAAGGTATGAAAATCGCTAGAGTAAAGCGGTTGAGAATGAAGCAATTTACCCCTCGTAGCTAAGACGGCCCCGTTAGCTGATGATGTTAGTTTACACTAGAAAGTTAAATGAGGTTTTAGCGTCACGGGTTTTCCACGATCACGCCTCTTTGAGGAAATTTGTGAAACATTAAAGGATATTTCGTCGCACGTTGAGATGACCCGGAATCAAAGTCATTATGGTTTTTATGGTCATTATGCATTTCGTTCAATTTATTGTAAAAGCATGGAACGCAGTTCTTCCATTCTAATCAGTAAATGACCATACTTTGCGCTAAATCTTATAATGATATTGATATTGAAAGAATTTTGTACTAAATAGTTTTCTCTGGATCAAAATTTTGCGTATAACTTCAATTAGTTTTGACAAAAATTTCATTTAGGAAAACGAAACGAATTGAAATGCATCTAAATCAAGGATTGAAAATGGTTCGATGTAACTCGCGCTTTACAGGTAAATTTTCTACCACATAAATAACCTTATCATAAAACTTAATAATTGAACTATAAGACGAACTAAAAAATTTACCTCGACCATCAATAGTGTTGTTTGCAGAATACCTCCCGTTTCCGGCCGGGTTCGGATGGGGAGCCAACAGTCCCCCTTTCTCATTGAAAGTGCTCAGCTGACTACTATGCAGAGAACTGCTAGCTACAGTCCCATTGCCTCCCTGCACCCTTCCACTGTTATTGTCGTCTGGACTTGGGGTTCCACGGGATACCGAATCCCCACCGGCAACCGCGTCCGGAGAAGGGTAGGAACTTTTCAGGAACGCACCTTGACCTGAACTAGCTAGACTGCCTCCCAAAGGCGACTGACTTCTTGCTAGAGTTCCGTTGCTTAAAGTGTACTGGTTGTGATGTGGGTGGTGGCGGTGTAGTTGAGCCTCTCCGGCTACTGCTGAGTACTGGGCCTTGACAGTGGAGGCACGGGTGGATCGGGCAGATCTTAGTCGGATTAAGAGGACGAGCCAGACGACGATTATAAGGACTACTATTGCTGCGATCGTGCACACGGCGTAGATCTAAAGAGAAAAGATTGTTTTTCAAGTGAAATGTTTTTTTTACATGCAAGAATAAATTTTTAATAGTTTGAAACTCTTTGAGAAAAATTCGAATTTTTTACTTGTGAAAACTTTGTACGTATTCAGTAATTTCAATACATTTCACAGGCACTCGAGGGAGGTCAAAGTTCAACGGCCAAAAACCGTTAAAACTAAGACTAAGTATCAATTCAACGTTATTCTCACAGAAAAAAAAACACAAGTTTGACGTCAATGAAAACTTTCGGACTAAAACTTTTTTAATGCCGTAAAATTTAATTTATTTTGACACAATAAACGACCATTCGAGCTAAAATTTACACAAGTGTAAAAAGACGTATCGAACCGCACTTGTAGAAATTGGGGAGTTTTTTCAATTACGGCAACTGCGCAAATTTCTTCTCTACTGTCAGGCGGTGTTCGAATTTATTCTTGTCTGTTTCCCTTTGTACTATTTAATCTTTTATGACAAATGCCCGTTACTGCTTCCATGCTTTGAATTGATCCCACCCCTCCAGCGGGATCTGAGTCGCTTTTCTCCTATCCCAGATTGCCCGCCACTAATCCCGTGATTAATCAAGCTAGCGTGGATTCTGGGGAATAAATTAAATAGAGCCTATTTTCCAATATTTGTCAACAAATCGAAAGCTGAACAGATTATACCAGTTCATTACATTGCATCTAAGCTAGTAAACGTCAAAAAACATCGATTTAACTTTTTGGTAATCAGACTGAAACAAAAATACTAGGAGAGTTGAACGCGATTTATTTTTCGGTCAGGTGAGCTTTCTGTTAGCTGAGATGGGCCCAGGTAATCTACAATCAAGCTTTCAAATGCACTCCTAATGCGCAGAAATTGTCCTAGTGTTGCCCTTTATTTGATACCGTCTCATAAGTCTGCCGGTATGACTTGACGATAGGATACTGCGGGGCTAATCAGCTCTAGATTGGGTCCATTTTAATCTAAAGTGGCCACATTATCAAAACACAGATTCGTTTTGTAGTTAATGCACACCAATTTTCTGGACCCAAAACAGAACCGTTTTGGAGATATTAAAAAGCAATGTAAGGCAGTAAGATCTAAATTAAACTACACAGGTCATTAAAAGTAGATCATCTATAATTATCTTAAAAAGTGCATTTTGTTTCGTGATCTCTTTCGGGAAGAAAATCAATGTAGCGAAGGATTTTTAAAAGAAAAAATAATCGTTCTAATGTAGGCAGTTAAGTAGGTGTATTCCTTTTGAAGTCTTTTTGCAGTTCCAATTTTGAAATGAAATTGGAGTCGTCAGGTTAAAAATTTGATAGTCTTGAAATTTCTTGACATTTTTATCAGAGTAAGACGAGACCCATTAATTCTGTATTTTTGTTAAGTTCAATGATTAGATTCAATTCGAGAAAAAAAGAAGCTATTTTAAAATTCCTAGCCAGTTCTGCTGCGAAATCGGACAAATTTGCATAGCGATCAGTGGGTAGTAAATCGCCGCCCATTCCAATATTCCCAGAGGGCCTGTGCGGTTAGGAAAGATTGCATCTCACCGAGAGCCCATCTTCATCTTTTAATATTAAACTAAATTTCCGATAACCTCTTTATAAATTATAACTGCTAAAGGTGACCCACCTACATTCCATGAATAAGTTGGAGAACAAAAAGTGACAGAAAATATTAGTAGCTTAATTAAATTTCCCAAATGAAACACCTGAACTTAATTTTATGTCACTCATACGTACAAAGAAGAGTAAAAAAGATCTTTTTGTTTCAAATTTGAGGATGAATAAACCATTTAATCTGGTTAGCAGTGGTTTGTTTTTCAATATTGGTTAAGAAGTTAAGTACCAAGATTAGTCATGCAAGTCCATAATGGAATATTTTTTCCCACTTGGCACGATTTCCGGGATAAATTTGATGAATAAAAAGGTCGTTCACGTTGTTCACGCAGAGGTATTACGCAATGGACATAGACGTTTACTCTAATGAAGATGAATTATGCACCTTTTCACTTAGACTTCATAATAACTCATTTTCTCAACGGGTCTTCATATTAAATTATGTTGCAAATAAGCCTTTTAATAAAATCACATCATTCAAAATTAACAAAATGTCTGACAGGAATTCTTTTTTTTCTGCAATTTCGCGGAAAAACATTGAACAAAATTTTGTTATTTCCTGCTTCTTTCATTGAAAAAATTAGCATATTAATAAAGTTCATAAGCATAGGTAACATGGCATCGTGAACCATTGTTTGCTGTCACTACGAAAAACCTAATTTTTGGCCTCGATTGAAAGCCAGGAATAGATTAAGAATTTTTCCGAATAACACGGAAGATCAGATTTAATCGTTTCAAGTGAGATCATTTTTAAAACCGAGCTCTGGTTTTGTCTCGCCTAATTGAATTGTCCATGATCGCAGTAAATGTTTTCTGTAGGTCAACTCACCATGAATCGAGGCACAGTCGGCAGAAAAGCTACTCTCGTCTCGTCTAGTGAAGTGTGGTTGAATAAAGTCTCGTTACCGTCCAAATAGATAAAATTCCATTGCCTTCTCTCATTGCGTTCCAACCCATTATCCGAAACCCAAATTTCTACTTTGATTTTCCGATCTCTGTTGCGGAATATTTCGTGTTTCTTTACTATGATTGAACCCTGGTCGGGATCTACTCCGAATATCTTGGCAGAGTCCGAAATGTGATATGTGAGCTTCGCGTTTCGCCCGAAGTCGTCGTCTACTGCTCGGATTTGGGTGACAATGTAAGTCGGGTTTGCATCCCAGGGTATTGAGAATTCCTCGTTCGGCAATGGTTTGAGAATTTGAGGGCTGAAAGTGACAAAAAAGGCATTTTAATCAAGCGATTTTTTCATATAACTTTAATATTTTAATTCTATAGAAGCCAGCCGACAAAGAAATCAGCTACTTTTTAAAGTAGTCAAAGGCGGTGAACAGTTACGTAATAATTATGCAACAAATGCGCAACCGTAATGAAAAATCCTACAAATTTTTACGCAAATTAAGCATGTTCCAATTGACTAGCATGCTCCGTTTTGATTCATTATTCTTTCGACTGGTCTATCCACATCCAAAAAAAATGTTTCCCATTACTACAAACAAATTTTTCACTAATATTCTAGAATAAAACAGCAAATTGAAGTCCCCATCTTGTAATAATTGTTTCCTAAACATTAATGCCCACCTGTTGTCATTTTCATCAATCAACTGGATGTTCGCTCTCGCAAGCGCCACCTGCTCTGGTTTCTTACACGCCTTGGCCAGGATCTCAAAATAAAACTCCTTCTGCTTTTCAGTCTCGTAATCAAAATCCCTCAATGTCTTAATTACACCCGTCGTCTCGTTGACCTTGAAAATGGCCTTGTATATGTCATCATCTGCGGCATAATAGCGAACACACCCGTCAATGTCGGGATCTACAGCGGTGACTCGTCCCACCTCCCAACCGATCCCACGACCCTCAAGGATGTCGAACTTGTAACTTGATTGGTTGAATTTTGGCTGGTTGTCATCGATATCAATTAGTGTGATCTCGAATAGCTTGTAAGACATTTTGGCAGGGGATCCCAAATCGTATGCCTGGAAATAACTGCTCAATTAAGAAAACATCAAGTTATAAATTGTGACAGTTTTCGACAAAGCAAGATCTCCTAGGTGAACTTAATTCAAGTTACTGATTGTCAAAAACTTGTTTCAAACTGCATTTATGAATCTTAAAAGTAACTGAAAAGCAAATTTCATTTAACCTAAGGGCATAACAAAAATATAAAATATTACAAAATATACCTTGATAGTGACATTGACAGATGACCCCAGAATCTCTCGATCCAGTTTTCTCAGTATCTTGAAAACTCCAGTGTCTGGATCTATGTGGAACCACTTCTCGTGCTGAAGAGAGTGGATTGAAAACTTGACTGTCCCATTGGCTCCGAAATCCATGTCTTCGACCACGATTCGATCCAAAATTTTGGGCTCTGTTTCCTCAATAATAGTGTAGTTGTATCGGTACCTGACAATCATTTGAGTTTGATTCTGTTAAGTCATCACTTCTATATATCACACACGATTAAATCTAGTTGCTGATCGTAGAAAAAGCGGTATCATACATCGAGTCTTGAAAAATTACAATTGATAAGTTTAAATGATAAGAATGAAAGTGCCATCAAGTTACGATAAATTGAGTGATCTCGCCTACTTACTTTTCCGGAGCTTTTAAAAAGTTTTATCCAAGTTTCGGAAAAATAGGATTAGCTATGATAAGCAGTAAGGAACAATTTATCTCACTTTTCAAATCGAGGCTTGAAATCATTTACATCTCCGACATTGAATTGAAACACTTCGGATGTCTTCAGAGGGGTGCAGCTTCTGTATTCCGGATCCCACTCTTCCACGGCACAATCAGAAGCCTCCAATTTCACCCAGTAAGCACCTTGTTCTTCTCGATCGAACGTCTGTGTAGTCGAAAACGAGTACATGCCAGTCCCGATTTTATGCAGAGTGAAGAAGCTAGTTCCGTTTAGTTGCACCATCTGGGTTTTCCCAAAAACTCCGGGATCTTCGTCGGTTATTTTAAAGAACCCTATCATTCTCGGGTCCTCGTTTTCAGAGAAGTAGATTTCCTGGCCTTCAACCTCCCAGAAACTTCTAGGGTTGAAAGATATGGTTGGTTTGTTGTCGTTCACATCTTTGATGACAAATTCAGTTGTCATCAAATCTTTGAAAGGTGGTACTCCTCCGTCACGAGCTTCAACTTGCACTGACAACGTTTGACCTCCCTGACTTTTGAGTGATTTTGACAAAACAATTTTACCCGTGGTCTCGTCAATAGTAAAATACTCCAAAATTTCAGGCAAAGTTTCTTCCGCAAAACGATAAAATATTCGGCCGTTTTTACCCGAATCTTCGTCTTTAGCTTGAACTTGGAGCACCACTTTACCAATTGGGTCATTCTCGAGAATCTCAACAGCTTGTTCTGACTGTTCGAAAACAGGAGTATTGTCGTTGATATCAATAATCGACACAATTATCTCCATGGACCCTTCGTTCATTGGATCTTTCGCAATTAAGGTCAGTTTAAAGCTACTTTGCTCCTCAAAGTCCAGATTACGGCCGACCAGCAACTTCGGAATTAGGACACCGTCCGATCTCTCCGATACCTTCAAAGAGAAGTAGGAGTTGTCAGTGGGTTCTAAGGTGTAACTTCGTATGGCGTATTCAGAAGAGTCTGCATCCGTAGCGTATGGTATACTAAAAGCACTATTGGAAGGGTCGGCATTTTCTGGAACAGATATGAAATGCTGTTTCTCGTCAAAACGGGGCACGTTGTCGTTTTGGTCTTCGACGAAAACATTAACCCGATGACTTTCTGGGATTCCGTTATCAAATATTAAAATCACGTCCAAGTTTACAATGCACTTAAAGTCATCTTGTCGAGATAGTTTACACAACGAGGAGTCCTCCCGGTCAATGGATTTCGCAACAGCTAAATACAATTCACCTTTTGAGTCTTTTGAAATTTTGAAAGGCTCAGAAGGGTCTAGCAGAATTTCTTGGTTACTCGAAGCGTATATGTCGAGTTTTCGAAGTGAACTAAGTTGAAACCCAATTGGAGAATTTTCGGGCAAGTTAAGCTTTTTTTGACCAACAATTGAAGCGGCATTGCACAGCATAGCTGTAACGAAGGCAAGAAAAAAGTGGTTAGATATTGCTTTCTGATTCATTGCAAATCGTAACCTTGTGATAATTAATAATGATTTTAACTGTATACTGTAAGTAATTAAGCGTCCTACGCTCCTCCGTTGAGTGATGCAAAGTATCTGTAATTTTAAATCCGTACTGCAGTGAAAAAATTTGAATTTATTAAACGATTTTCATAACTCATTCAAACGAGTTTGCATCTATGTTTTTTTTTCGTATTGGACTAATGATGATTTTAGCCGGAGCTCATTATAACTCGTTGAGGATAATTATCAACAGAACCGAGGTTTTAATTGCTGTGTCGAACAATGAAGTTTTCCTCGCATTCGATCAATGAAATCACCTTTTTTAACAACTTCAGGAACACATCTCGTTATTGAGAGTTATTAAAACAGAAGAGTGGGAAATGAATTGGTAATGTCTAAAAGGTGTACTTGTAGCATGCATAATGATTGTAATGACGTTTTAAACAGCCTTTAAGCAAATGATACATCATTGAAAAAATGGGAAACATTCAGGAAAATACCAACAAAGAATCCATTCAAAATATCCGTTTATTTGATTTCGCCAATTTCAATGGACCAAATAAATAGCGAGAAAAAACAAAGGATATAAAATTTTGAAACGTAGCCAACCAAGTGTGCTATTAATACAGTAACTGAAATAGCTCCAAAAAGATTAAAGATATAAGATAGGTAATACAACCAGAAATAATAAGTAAAAATTACGTTATCTCCAGGTAAAATCGTCCACAATCAATTTCACTGCAATTTTGGATCAGCAGTTTTTTATTCAAAGCGAGTGATTTTGAGCTACCCTAACCAGCACTAGGGCTTGTTTTTTGTTTCTAACTAGCGGCCAAATAAATTCAAAAAATTGCCCGTCCGATTTAAACAATCGGCCGTCACAGTTGGACCTAATTTAAATTCTGCTGCTATTTAGCATTTTACTAAGTCGTATTCAGCAAAACTGCATTAACATAAAAACAGAACGACCGGCTGAAAGAATTAAAAGGACCAATAGAAACAGGCTCTGAGAGACATTTCATTTCATTCAATCACAAGGAAAAATGTTAGGTATAAATACAACAAGAGCATTGCGAGACCTATGATTGCATGCATGTAAGAAGGAACTGCTTAAAATCCACGTAAGGGCCCCTGAAGTGACTTGGTAATCATAATACACGACGACAGCTCTCAAACAGAACTCGCTTTGTGGACATACTAAATACAAGTTTAAACGCGCCTGTTTTGCTTATAACTAGCGCCGGTAAACTTGACAGCTGAGGGGAAATATCTCGAGTTCAGAGTGTAACCCAAACCGCGAACGGACCCAGAAAAGAATGTTTGCCCGATTTTAAACGGAGTCTTAAACAGTCTGTTTGCGTCTGAAGTAAATAGCAGCAAGTAAAGAAAGGCCTGGTGGGTTTTACGATTTGCGATATAATTATCCCGTTCTTGGCTTAGATATGGCCATCGAAACTGTAAAATAAACTGAAATAGCTGAAAGTGAGACTCCACACTAAGGCACGAATAGACAAGAAAATCTCGAAAAGGCAAAGACACTAAGTTATGTATGTCACTTCTTCTGATCGCAAACCTGCATGAGATTGTAGGGGTTAAAAGTATTTGCGGGCTTATCGATTTCATAATTAGAAGAAACTCGAAGTATTTGAGTGTCTCGAAAATAAATAATAATATTCTTAGCGAGGATAGTTTTTTGCTTAATAGCATTCTTTTGTTGCGGTTTCGAAAAAATGAAAAATTAAAATGGAAACGAGACTGCTCGCAAGACTGCAAGGCAAAGCCTTGAATGTTCCGACTGCCCGTTAAGGCATCTGAACTAGTTTTTTAATAACCCATACAAATTCTATACCTATATTCCACCCAAAATCAGAATTTCAGCAGTTTTGCTTGAATCTGATAGCCTTGAATAAGCCAGCCATAACCCATCGTGTTCATTATTTCAAATTGGCAATTTCGAAACTCCCATAACTTGATATTTTGATTTTGAGTTGAAGACATTAATAGCATTCAGATGTAAATAAGTTCTCTCTAAAATGACTACTTAAAGATGGAAATTAGTCTATGGATGGAAAAACTACCCCCAAGCATAAATTTTGCTTTTTGTGAAAGTCGGAAAAAAAAGACATTCGACAAGCGGTCACTGTGAATATTTAATTCATAATGAAAACTTTCACACTCCTTAAGCAAGATTCCAAGCAATTTAGCAATGGTAAAAGTCTCGTACTTCAAACAGTTTCTCCTCTGATACCAAACATCTTAAAATGTTTTCACAGAGACGAGTGAATGCTTCGCAAGTACATGCGAGAAAAAATCAGAAAGAACTTAAAACTTGGATTCAATTCCAGGCTGCTGGCTTTAATTTTCGCTCAAGCTCAATTTTTAAAACGCTGTTACCAATAAGCTTTATTATCTATACATTAGTTTTTTGGGCTTGAACATAACATTTCTCCGGATAATGACTCAATTGAAAATGAGGAAGATTTTTGACATCGTGTGTTTCAGTGTTTTCTTTTTTTATTTACCACACAAAATCAATTACTACAAAAGACACAGAGGCGAAGTAGCTCTTCGAAAACACAAGCAAGAAAACGACAAAATTAGCTGTAAATAAGAAAAAAAAGTAAAAATAAGCCTTGAAAAGGAAAAAATTGTTTTAACGGATTTGAACCCACGACCAAAAGATTTGTAGTCGCCTGTCCTCAAATCTGCGCCACCCTCAGTGGACACCTTACGAACACTAGCCACCAATAACGCAGCTACATATGCTATTAAACTGCCAATGCTATGGGTGGTAAAAAGTGTTGTGTTGTATCCGGGGTTGGTTACCTTGGCTTTGGTTCGATGTTCAATTCTTTAGTTCGACTATTCCGTTTTATGATCAAATACAATCTTGGTGCTCAAAACCTTTTTTTTCTTTTTAGTTAGTTCATTAAACTTTCAGTTTTGTGTCTGGTCTACGCGGACCTTAATCTCTCACTGAGTGCTAAAATTTTACCAATCGGTCGTCATCCTCGGGCGTAATACTTGTTTGGCCGTTTTGCCACCTTGCCATTTGGGCGCAACTTATGGGTGAAAAGTGAGAGTAAATTCTTACAACACATACTGCCGCATTTTAATTTTTCGAGCGAAATGTCAAAAGTGATCTTTTATCTTAAAGGTGATCTTTTAACCTTCATGTTGCTCTTGCTCTTAACTTCATTCAGATTTGATACCTGCCAAAACGAATCGGCTTTTGGCACAACTGAGCTTTAGTCAATATATGTTTTTATGGAAACTAAATCTCAATTCAACTTCGTAACCAATTTTATCGTTTATCTAGCTTAGTTATCTTATACCAACGTCTTTTAATCTAGTCTTTGATAAAAGCCTACTAGTAAGTTTAGTAGAGATCCATTATCGTATCAAGTCTTAAACTAGACTTAGTTTAAGTACCCCAACGTCTTAACATCATCATTACCTTTATCTGTATCATAGTAATTTTTTAACATGGCGCAGTCAAACGAGTCGAACCTACGAGATCTAGAGTTCCTCTGGAACAACGCATCAAGCGAGAACCATCAAGACTGGGAAAAATGGGCGGAAATTTTCAACTAACAGTTATCGCTGAAGATTCCGTGGATATCGAAGATGTGACTAATCCACCGGAGAGATCCGAGTTATTATACCCTGTCCCAGAAACATCGGAGTCTTTCGACGATCAAACCCGTCGGACACAAAAAGAAGAACGATACAAACAAGCACAACAAGCCTACAAAGAAGAAGCGAGAAGGAGGAAAGCGGAAAACAACGCAAAATTTAGTGGCTCACAAATTGGTGATATCGACAAAAAACTAAAATCACAACTGTACTTGGCACTTGGAAAAAAAGAACAAAATATTTCGCACACAAAAACCCCGTAAAAGAATACTAGATATAAATTTTGAAGAATTTTTGGAATTACTAAAAACTACATTCACGATAACTACAAACTTGACTTGCGAAAGACACAAATTCTTCGGTCGTAGACAAAAATTTCATGAGTCATTAGAAAAATTACACTTTACAAAGACCTTTCAGAAATGGCAAAAAATTGTAAACTAGGCAAAATAGAGACCGAATTAGTCGGAGATATCTTTAATACGAATATGAGAAATGTACAAATCTAGAAACAATTGTGCATCGAATATCTGACCCCAGAAATTGTGCTAGCCTGCGTTCTGGTCCACGAGAAAGGCACGAAATTACACCAACAGCATATAAAAGTCCCTGTATATAACTCTGTACAAAAACCACATTGTGTAGAAAAAACGAGCCAATTTTAATTACTGTAGAAAGTAATAAATGTAGAAATTGTGGCTAATAATTCAAGAAAGGACCCCTTTCATTTTGTCCCGCAAGAGAGAGAAACTGCAACACCTACGGTCGCAGAGATCAGTTCGCTAAACATTGTAAAAGTGCAGCCAGAACAGAAACCAACATAATTGAACAAAATCCGAAACTACCCGAAATAGAAACCCACAGAAAAAAACGGCAGGATAACTCGAAGTAGGTTTAGAAGACTTTTCAGTCCGAGCCCTAGATTTTCATAATCAAATGAAAGCTGTTAAGGACACAATCGAAGGAGGAATCAGAACAGTATTTACACATGAAGGACTTGATCTGAAGAAGATATTGATGGTATTAATGGGCAATTTTAATCCTTACCTAGCCGAAAAACAGGTTGACTCAGCCATCACGGTATCGTTCATGAAAAGGGATCTACTTCACGATCTCAAGATAAGATACAGCTTTCAAAAGGTAGAAGCAGTTGATGAGATCGCATAAAGGCGTACCAAGGCTTTAGGAGGTGATCAATATAATAGAAAAAGTCACAGGGAGGATACGATCGAAGGAATGGGATGCCAAAGATCAACAACTGCTTATTACTGAAGGGGCAGAAGGAAACTTACTGGGAAATGACATACTTCCGAATTTGGGAATAAAGGTCTCACAGAAGCAGGCTCCACCCACAGTGTCAGACACCTGGAATATCCCGGGTGTTTCGGAATAGAAGTAGGCCAGATAAAGTTTGAATATGACAGTCAACCCTGTCCACTTCTCGACACGTCACTCCAACGTGAGATCAAACTGTATATATCCAATCGATTTCCCGAACTTTTAAAAAGAACAGGCAGATCAAACTTTTTTTTATAGTAAGCACATATTTCAACCAACCTTTAAAACCAATACATGCAAAGGGCAAGCGTATACCAATATAACTACTGCCTAAAGTGAAATTATATATTGATCAGTTGCTTAGCGAGGGACATATTGAAAATTTGTCCAGATGTTCAAAAGATTGTTATAATTCACCCATCGTCATAACAGCAAAAAGAGACGGGTCAATTAAATTGGCTCTGAGCTCAAACTACTCAACAAACAAATATTTTGCAACTGATATCAAACGGCCAATTGGTTTGAACTAATTGATAACGTCGCTTTAACAATTAGTGGTCACGACGAAAACGAAATCAGGTTTTCATCTATCGACCTAAGATATTCATACAGCCAGATAAAACTTTCAAAAAGCAAGTAACCAATGCAATATTAACTTTGTGGGAGGAGAGTTTACATACTCATACCGTTTTAAAACGGGATTTTAAAGATTGGGCAATATGCCGAAAGAGTTTCAACGTATTATGGACCGTCTAACGGAAAAACTACCGAATAGTTACTGTTACATAGACGAAATTTTAATCGCTACAGCAGGTAGCGCTAAAGAACACTGCAAATTATTTACTGACGTTCAAAAAATTTTGTACAACGAAGGACTAGCTACAAATTGGGAGAAAATTAATAAACTGACCTACGACAAAGAGTGCTTGGGGTTCAAATTCGACCCGAAGGGGACCGCTCTTTTAGTCCACAAACCAGACGCAATTAGAAACTTGAAAGAACCGTGATGTATCAAGGACATAAAATCGTTAATGTGCTCAACCAACCTTTTTAATGAAT